TGATGAAAAGCTAAATCTGACCTCAGGTTTCATCCAACGTGATGATAAAAAAGCATCTCATACAAAATCTCTTCCTTCTGAAGCAACCTTTCATTCACACAACAATGTAAGATGGGCATGAGGAGCTTTTCTCTTCAAACAGAGAAAAACTTTTGTCTTTCTTCAAAGAAATCTTCATTCACTACAAAACCTTGGAGCGAGTTGTTAAGTTAAGGAATTTAGATTACCAGAGCGCAACCCTTATGGTCTGAACACCGTGTCTCAGAAAGCGACCCAATGCAATTAAAAGTGCAAATTCTAATATGCGATCCAGCGAGCTCCATTAAAAGTTCACCAATGCCTGTAGAAGACGTGCAAGCGCATATAATGAGATAGGCAAGCTAATTAACTTTTGCAATTACCTTTCAAATGCAGACGGCGAAGATAACCACAGAGCACCATCATAGTCAGATCATAATGTAGTGCAAAAGTTTAATTATGGAAGCTCTCGTGACTTATACTTTTTGTATTGAACTTCTGCGAAAGGAGATGCAAAACTAAGTTTGATTAATTCGCATCATCGCAATTCACGCTTTGGAATTCGCGTATATTGTGCTGGCCTTTTTACAACTTTTTAAATCAGAGCTAGTTTAAACTTAATGACATACAATAATTTTCCAACTATATTCCTTCCTGCATTTTAATAGCTCAGTTTTATTTGTGCTTTAATATTTAAAAAAAAAGATAATAATAAAAATTAGAAAAAGGTAATTTAAAAATTTTGAAAGTGAAAAGAGTATAACGTGGATTATGAAAAGCAAAATACAGAACTATTTCAAAGAAATCGTCTATCCAAATAAATTTAAAAACTTTCATTATAAATACAAAAAAATAGTCCTGAAAATTTCTTATTATTTGACAAAATTATTGTTTCTATGTTCCCAAAGCTCAATAATTAATTACAATAATCATCTTAACAAGACAAGACTAAAAACCTCTGTTCGGTAAAAATAAAATATTAAAGAAAAATACACAATAATAGCTGATTACTTTTTTGAATTTGTTAACAAGCGTTGAAGCGTTGCAAAAAAAAAGCCGTTTGCAATAGAAAAAATTATCCTGAATTATCCATGACTTTAAATTATTCTACACAGCGAAAAGATTTGATTTAATTTCCATCTCAGTGTCTCAAATAAATTTGATCCCTTTCTTTCTTTATTTCTTTCTCTTTTAGTTATCAGCTGTAGAGACCTTAGAACATTAAATTAAAGCGTGCTGTGCTGCCTGTGCCAAATGATCTGCTGAGTTAGCAGCAAGCCCAATGTAAGTAAGTGAGCGCCGGCAATTCGATTACACACACCTACTTGAATTACACACGCAGGGAGCAGTTGAGCACACAGAGAGGGTAAGTTAAGCGCACGTTTTTTGGCAGATGGCACACACTGCCATCCTAAAAAGGGAGCTTCTCGTTATTTCAGGGCCACACACCGACTGCTCTCTGGACAAAAATCTGTATCCCTTTTGCTTTCAAGAATATAAAATATTGTTCGGCAATAAAAGGATGCTCGGGAAAAATTATTGAGTGGAAGATAATTGGTTGAACCCTTTCTTTGCGCGCCTGATGCGCTTCGGAATTGCCAGAGTGGATATCCGCTCTCTCGGTGCGGCGCAGTTTGAGGATTTCGCACGCGAAAGTCGCACGCGTCTCATCTCAACGTCGGCGTTTTAAATAAGCTGAGACCTGGGGTCTAATTCTGTAAGCTTTTTCGTTTCTATTTCCATTTCTATATTCATTTTCCATATGCTTACCCATTCTATTTCGTCGCCTTTTTCGATTACGACTTCTATTTCGCAGCCTATCCATTTCCATTTCTAATTCGTCGTCAATTTTAGTAGTTGAGCCATATTTATATTTATATATATATAAATATAAAATAAATATATATATTTATTTATATTTAATTTAATTATTGCATATGCACTTACATTAATTTTCAAATGATTTTTAATATACTCAAGTCAATAAAATGTCTAAAATATTATTTGAATAAGGCGTTTAGTCAAAAGTATCTCAGTGTGGGAGAAAATTGTGGTATCACATTGTGGGAGCTAATTGTGGTACCACAGTGTGGGCGCAAATTGTGGTACCACAGTGTGGGCGAAAATTGTGGTACCACAGTGTGGGCGCAAATTGTGGTACCACAGTGTGGGCGAAAATTGTGGTACCACAGTGTGGGCGAAAATTGTGGTACCACAGTGTGGGCGCAAATTGTGGTACCACAGTGTGGGCGCAAATTGTGGTACCACAGTGTGGGCGCAAATTGTGGTACCACAGTGTGGGAGAAAATTGTGGTACCACAGTGTGGGCGAAAATTGTGGTACCACAGTGTGGGCGAAAATTGTGGTACCACAGTGTGGGCGCAAATTGTGGTACCACAGTGTGGGAGAAAATTGTGGTACCACAGTGTGGGCGAAAATTGTGGTACCACAGTGTGGGAGCAAATTGTGGTACCACAGTGTGGGCGAAAATTGTGGTACCACAATGTGGGCGAAAATTGTGGTACCACAGTGTGGGCGCAAATTGTGGTACCACAGTGTGGGCGAAAATTGTGGTACCACAGTGTGGGCGAAAATTGTGGTACCACAGTGTGGGCGCAAATTGAGGTACCACAGTGTGGGAGAAAATTGTGGTACCACAGTGTGGGCGAAAATTGTGGTACCACAGTGTGGGCGAAAATTGTGGTACCACAGTGTGGGCGAAAATTGTGGTACCACAGTGTGGGCGCAAATTGTGGTACCACAGTGTGGGCGCAAATTGAGGTACCACAGTGTGGGCGAAAATTGTGGTACCACAGTGTGAGAGCAAATTGTGGTACCACAGTGTGGGCGAAAATTGTGGTACCACAGTGTGGGCGCAAATTGTGGTACCACAGTGTGGGCGCAAATTGAGGTACCACAGTGTGGGCGAAAATTGTGGTACCACAGTGTGGGAGCAAATTGTGGTACCACAGTGTGGGCGAAAATTGTGGTACCACAGTGTGGGCGCAAATTGTGGTACCACAGTGTGGGCGCAAATTGTGGTACCACAGTGTGGGCGCAAATTGAGGTACCACAGTGTGGGCGAAAATTGTGGTACCACAGTGTGGGCGAAAATTGTGGTACCACAGTGTGGGCGCAAATTGTGGTACCACAGTGTGGGCGAAAATTGTGGTACCACAGTGTGGGCGAAAATTGTGGTACCACAGTGTGGGCGCAAATTGTGGTACCACAGTGTGGGCGCAAATTGTGGTACCACAGTGTGGGCGAAAATTGTGGTACCACAGTGTGGGAGCAAATTGTGGTACCAAACAGCGCACGCGATGAGTTAAATAATATAAAATACATGGTTGCTAATTTGCTAAAAAAAAATATTATAATTGTATTTGAATTCAACCAATTTTTAAGAAATTGATTTAATTAACTTTGTGAAAGGAAAAATTATCTTGATCCCCCCTAATTATGAGCCATAAAAAGATTTGATTAAAAAGGGGTGCGAGAGACATATAAGAATTATAAATATTCATTTTCATTAAAAATTAAATAATTCATATAATTTTATCAACCTGAATATTAAAAACCATTCGAAGAGCACTGTAAGCATAGGAAATAATTAAATTAAATATAAATAAATAAATGGCTCAACTATTAAAATTGACGACGAAATAGAAATGGAAATGGATAGGCTGCGAAATAGAAGTCGTAATCGAAAAAGGCGACGAAATAGAATGGGTGAGCAAATGGAAAATGAAATAGAAATGGAAATGGAACGATTCTATCTTACAGAATTAGACCCCTGGAGCAGATAAGATTGTATGTTAAATAGGTTTATGGAACGATTCAAAGTGTATAATGAAAAAATATCCAACTTTGAAATTATATTGAGCAGGGTGCAAAAAAAGCATATACCCTATACACCATTCCATAAATGTGGTTTTATGAAAGGAAAATCCCTAAAGAATATATTAAAAATTAAAAACGAATTGGTTAAATATAAATTTTTTTTAAACATAACCAGGCAATTTAAATAAATTTTTTTTCTTAATATTACAAAATTGCCGTTATTTAAAAATTGTGTTCTATATTATTTTTTGTAGAAGTATCATTTTATCAGATTTTTAAACTAAAATAGGATGTGGATTATTATTTACACTTACAAGGTTTTCTTTCTAATTAATTGTATAATTGTAAATTTGATTGAATTAAAATCATTCAAAAGAGTCTCATTTATTCAATATTGCATGTATGCCGTTGGATTTATTGTGCAAAATAGGGTCAAACTACTGTAAAATGCTTTCCAGAACAACCCTTGCGGGGTTTTGAAATTTTAATTACAGAGATAATCTGAATGCTTAGAAAAGCGTTGACATATATAGGGGTACTCGCACATAGCTAGTTTATTTTAATACACAAACAGCTCCAACGTGCATACAAAGTGCTCTTTTAATAGGCTGGCAGGTTCGCAATTAGCAAATGGGGTGTTTGTAAGATAGGTTGACCTCATAGACAGACAACCACGTGGAGGTCATCCCAGCTGCGCGGAGTGAACTTTCTGCAATTTCTCTTTTCGTGAAAATTATATTGTAAATAAAAGTATCTTCGTTCTTGCTCTGACTGAGTGAATATATTATGCATTTAATGTTTAAACTTGAAAATTTTATCAACTCATTTTAATTTAGCATGACAAACACCAATCGTCGAATGGTTTCAAAAATGTTTTTGAAACATTTTCTCATGAATTTTTGATTTCTTATATTCATATTTTGTTGGTATAGAAATTTATAAATTGACTTATATTTGTATCTTATAATAAAAATAACACTGTTTCTAATACTTATTTAAGCATTAATATGATTACTATGAATTAAAGACAATATATCTGTGCAAGCCTTACGCTTGAGTGTATATTTTCAAATTTACCAGATTTTATTTATACGAAAATCAGTGTCAAGATATATAAAAAATTATTTCCACAATATGTGTCAGTCTAAAACACAAACTCGTTCAGTAATAAATACTTAACAGGCACAAAACTCTGAAGCCATAAATGATAATGTGTACGTCATCATTCCATTTCCTCTGCGCAGACCTTTCCGCAGCAGCATTCAACAGCTTGTTCTATAGCATTCGGACGCAGTAAATTTCTGAAATGACACTACATACAGCGATATTATTGCTAGCATACTTTATTTTTTCCATGGTAATTATTTTTTTATCTTTTCAAGCAGGCGGTTAAATTTTGTTTGAAGATTCCAGGCAGACAAAATCAGAATGTTTGTGAAATATCTCAATATTTTGAAAGTAAGTGACTTTATTCATACAATTTACGAAAAAAGTACAAGCGTATTTTTATAGGATCTGATTTTTTGTGGAGGACTTCAGGCAGCATCTTTCAATGCATTTCAAAGTGCAGTTCTGCACAAAAAATTACTACGGACGATGCATCTCTAAGACCGAAATTTGTGGAGCGCATTTTTTCTCCATCTAGACGCGTCATTGACTGCCAAAAAGAGGTTGAACATAAATTATTTCAAATTAGTGTTTTGCAAAGTTTTTAATCACATTTTCAAAGATGAGGTATGTTGCTTCATTTTGCAAATCAAAAAGTAAGTGAAACAGTTTGTCGAATTTTGACTACAACATGTAAACTTTTTTCAGTTAGGGGATTGGAATTAAATCAGGCCGGTGATGTGCCTCTATTTTATTTCCCACTTTTTGTAAAGGTCGGTAAAAAAATTTGATTTGAAAAATTAATTATTTAAAAAATCCAGGCGAACAAGTACATGGCTGAAAGATTTTGTGTTAGGCAAGGTCTAAATTTCGGCATCAATGAAACTATGATTGACAAAATCACAAATGGTTTCTTCACTGCTTTGTGTACAATTTAAAATTTTAAAATTGGTCTTCGCAGGTTTAACTGATATCAAAGTATGGGCGACCTATGTGCAGATAGCAAAAAATAAGTCCGATCCGCAATTCAAAACTCCTGGAATTGTATGCACTATTTTTCACAAGTAAGGGATTTAAACAATGGATAGAAAAAATATTTAATCATCAACTACAGACAAAACAATACTGTCGTAATAAAAAATGAGAGCTGTTCCAGTGAAAACAACTTTGTCTGCACCTTACCAGAAATTTGTCATTTGAACAAATGCAGCTCCAAATGCTTGAATGGAAATTGCGCTACTGAGGTTTTAAAATTTATGGATTTATTAATGATTTGAATTTTAATAGATCATTTATTTTTTATTAATTTTTTAAATTTATTTAGAGGGCTGCGGAAGACTGTGATGCAAACTGTACAAAAGTTGACTGTTCTGAGGAGGTAAAATTGCCCTATTTCATTATAAAACAAAATGAAAATCTTAATTATTGAAAAGCCTGGCGATAAATTTGGATTTGGTGAGAATTTAAAAAACTTCTGCTATAACATAAATATTAGCTAATTTATTACTTTTCTCTTAGTGCAAAGTGATGGGGAATTAGTTCAAATGTGTGGCTTTGAGTACTTTTTCCCCAAAGTATCCAAGGTTCAGCTATAAAATATTGATCCTCTTGAATTTAAAAGTATGTTAATTATTATTACAGTACTCTTTGAAGGCTTCGCAAACGTTCTGCTGCCTTAGAAATATGGAGGTGGCAAGTTTTATGTCCGTCGAAGAAATGACATGTTTTGCCAACGAATCAGCCAGTACCATTTTTATTCATTCCGATGCCACGATTTTCAATACAACCAAACTATTGTAGAACGGAACATGACGGGCGCCTCATATTGGACTTCCGCTCGCCTCACCACGTGCCCAAACACTTTTGTTTGGTGCTCAGGAAATCCAGAAATTGTTGACCAAAGTTACCTTCCATGGAAATCGACGAATCCGTTTGTTGGAGTCAAACCGATGGCAACCCCCAATGTTTCTCTCTCTTGGGAATTCGAGGATGGCTTGGGGACGAAAAGGGCGCTTTGCAAGGCAAGTTCCCAAAGATGCATTCGCTACTATAGCACAGTGTTAATAGTAATGCGCTCTTTATATGCAGCGACCCATCCCATCACTGTGTAAAAGTTCGTCGTGTTTCCCTGTTGGATGCAAAACTGAAGTTTTTACAAAAATGGAATTTTTTTTCCGCAATTTAATTTCATTTTTCAGGCCAAGTCAAACGCGGATAATAAAGGAAAGTGTAAGTTTTACATTTGCACACAAAAATTTTGTGCTGTATTATAAACATACAATCCTATGGACTTCGAAAGATATATTTTTTTTTTAAAAAAAATTCAAACTATCATTTTGGTACAATTTAATGTCGCTATCTTAAATTCTAATTTTGGTCAAGGTATGATTGAGTTTGTTTTTTTATTTGAAAATCAAACCTTACACTTTGATCTTTGGTGCACAAATTATTAATGGCAAACAGAAAACTTTAGAGCTTGATGAGAGAGCTTAAATCCAGTTTTTGTGTGGCCATGGAAAGCTGCGACAACTTTTTGAATAAAACCTGAGATTTTTAAAATTTTGAATAAAAAATTAGGGAGTTAAATTTCGAAACATGATTAAAATTTGGAGTCAGTCGGAGATACAACTTGGTATCTAAAGAAGGGACCTTGAGATCCCGAATAGATTTTTGTTTTCAAAATTGGTTATTTCTTATTGTATGATAATTGGATTCCAGCTTTCTACAGATTAGGTTGCGCGCTTTTGAAAGGATGCAAAAAAGAATTTACTGTTTGTTTGGGTTCTGGTAATAAGGTAAGTTGTCACTGCCGTCATTTGAAACAGTAATAAATATGGTTTATTTTATTTTCTGCATATTCCAGTTTTCTTACTACCAAAGTGCAAAATGGGCATGCGGGGATTTTTACAATTACAAATTAATATCTTTTGAGACGAAAGAAAAACTAGATTGCGTTTTAGAGCTTTTTAAAGGTTTGCATTAAAATAAACGATCAAATCATTTAAGACTTCCTTTCTTCCCTTTGTTATTTTTGCAGCTTACAATATGACCAACAGTAGATTTTACGTTTCGGCAACTTCACTAGGATGCGTGAATTCGCTCAGGTGGTGCAACTACGTGGACAATCCGTTGGTCCAGGACTCCTACATTAAATGGGCAAAAGGAGAACCGTCGACAGACCCATCTAAGGAGTGCGTCTACGTCGACTATGATTCTGCCAAGAAAGAGTTTACTTTTGCAAAAACTAACTGCAAAGCAGAGTTTAACTTTATGACTGAAAGTCTGTCAACCTTTGAAAGTAATACATTAGGAATAAAATAGATCATCAATTTTTGAAAATTATATATCGACTATTTTAATGAAATTTCTCAAATATCTACGAGATACATAATCACAAAGTTCATCAGTGCGTGCAGCCATTTCGATTTATCAGCTGATGAAACAAAAATTTATATTTGACGTTTTAGAATGGAAAATGCCCTTGAACGATATTGATACACAGTTCTCCATAAATTATTATTTCCCGATATTTTTTTTATCTTAAAACCACTTTAGCTTTAAACTTCAAATAGAATTATTAATTAAGCCAATGAGAGGGAAAAAAATTACAAAGAAAATTATATTGAAAGAGTTAAGAATATATAAGTTTTTAGCTCATTATTTCTCTCTATTATAATTATTTTATTATTTTTTCCCATAATAGCTGTAATGAATGTTTTGTTAACTTAATAAATATATATTTATACTGAAACTGTAATTTACTTACACGAATTTCCAGTAAAAATATGCATGTGACAACATTCTTCACTTGGCACAACTCGATTAAATTAGTATTTGATTAAAATATAAAGAAAATATTACTTGAACTTTATTTTATTTCCAGCTGGGTGTCTTCATAGGGGAAGGCGTATTATTAAAAGTCTTGAGTTTATATCTGCACTCGCAGAAATTGAAATTCACAGGAGAAATCAAGGACGGAATTTATATTTAAAGAGGAAGCTATGGAAAATAAAGCCGTATGTTGTTGCAGTGTAAACAGGGATACAGTGGGTTTCGCCAAATAGAAGGCGGAAAAGCAGCTTTTCCCGGCCCAAATCACGTCAGTACGAGGAAAGCTCGCACAAATTTCTTTGCAATTTACATAACAAAATTCACGTACCTGTTTTGCATGGAAATCTTGCAATTTCCAAACTGGTACAAAATAATACTTTATCATTGCAGCAGCAACGAATTAATTAGCAAAATCGTGATAAATTTTTTCCGGCGCTGGAAGCACACACCATTTTCTGTTCCTCTGGCTGAAAAAGAGCACACTTCAGTCATGGTCTCGCCTTTGTATATAAAAGTTGTCGGAGCTCGTGCAAATTTTATTGTCCGTCGACAGTCGATAGTTCCCACATGCTGCCACATAAATACCCAGTTCAAGTCCCAAGAAGTTCATATGCCGAGCGGCACTCGAAAAGCATTTCAGCGGTCGCAAAGCCATAAATTCTGCAACCAGAATTTTGTGTAGTTGATTTTCATAAGCAGGAATCCGCTCATCTATAATTTAATCGATGAATCGTTGTTTCCACAGACGCGACGCCGTTTTATTTAAATTTCCGGATTGCCTGTCGAGATTGCGTCGTTTACATAACATTTAATTGTTCAATGCAAAAATCGAAGTAAAAATATCAAATCTAGTGAACACGCACGTGTACAAGAATTTAATGTCAGAACAGAAGTATACAAATATGAAAGAAAAAAAAATAGATATTTGCTTTTGAGACACGTTTTTCCAATAGATGAAAAATATTGGAATTTGACTGTGCACTTTGGGAATACAAAAAGGTTGCTTTTGCATCATAATTTTTTTTAAACAAAAACAAGGATTTATAATGCTGGGAAAGAGAAATGAAAAAATCGGGAACAAAGAGGCATTAAGAACATTATTTAGCAAGGTTGCAATTTTTTTACTTCAACCAAAGCTCTTTGATTATTATTTTATTGTATAGTTAATTTTAAGTCACACAATGGATAAATTATTATCGTGTTTGTTAATGTTTCTACAGTTTATATTCTGAATGCTTTTTTTATTCATGAAATTAATTTTCAATTTTACTTCAATTACTCAATCGTTTAATAAAACAGTAAAAAAGTCTCAATAAGCATTTTTTTTAAATTTACTGTTCTAAATAAACTGTAAGCCCCATCAATTTTATTTACAGAAAAGAGTTCCATGAGTGTATATTTTTTTATATCTCGGTCAGCATCCAGTTGAAAATGGACGATGCACGTGCTATGGACACGACATAATGGCTTGGGAAGCTGCCGGAGCAGCGGGTTGCAAGCGTTAATTTCCGATTTATTACGCTGGACTTCACGTGCAGCGAGTATTCCCTTGGTCAAGGACGCCATTGTCCGCGGCGTGCATTTGTTGCGATTTATTCTGCACAGTCATTCGCACCCTAGCTGCCGGTGGAAGAAAATCCGGTCAGGGCGGCACACGTGCCCATTTGAAAAAATCGTTCACTTAAAAATAACCGCATATTTAATTTATGGACCACTTTACACATTCGCATTGTAATTATCAGTACTTCTTGCGCATAATTCAATTTGCATACACAGACCGGAAAGCAATTCTGCAGCCTTTGAATTAAATCCGGCCGGGGTTGGGAAAATAGAAAAGATGCTGCTCGAAGTTATTTTTTCGCTCGAGTGCAAAGTACGGCGAGGCTGCGAGTCGCGGACAAAAGAGGTGCATCGTCATAAATCTCGTCTATCCAGCAGAAAGAGATGCTGCACAAAAAGCATGGCGGAACCGATTATACTTGGCAAAGCCCAACTCGGAATTTATTGCAGCGGAAATTAATCATTCGGCTCGTTCTACAAGTTGCGAGCAAGAAGAGATCGGCGAGTTATTAATTTATACGCGCGAAAGCATAGGAGAGTCGTTTAGGGTTGATGTCACAATGGAAAAGAAAACGGGGGTCCCATTGTGCTTTCCGCAGCTCATTCCGAATTCTGGTGACGTGAAAAAAGGAAGGGTCCTTGCTTACATGGGCGGTGAATGTAGGCCAAGAAATTGTAACGAATTTCCAGAGTAAATATTATTTTTGCAGAAATTGATATTGAGTCTACGTGCGGTGAAGCAGGGTGTTTCTTTTGTTACATTGAATTCGTTGGTCGCTGTTTGACCTCTCGAGATTTTGTTAGGATTGAAGATTTTTGTGGGAATTTTTTTGTAAAAAAATTCTTCAAATTAGTAGTTGTCTATTGGTAAATTCCAAAAAATATAAATATAAGGTTAACTAACAATTTATTTTTATACAAAATGTCTTTAATTGAGGTTAAAATTAGAAAAAATTTGCTTTCATTACATAACCAGAGTGATTAGATTAGTTATTGAATCCATTTCAATGATCTTATTGATATTGACACTCATTTCTTTGGATAAAAACTTTTTTTTTCAAGATTTAATCAATGCAGTTTGCTATTTAAAATGTAAATCAAATCGAGCTACTTCAATTTGTTTTCTAATAAGTATTATGATTGATGAGAATCAATTATTGAGCTCACATAGCAACATTGTTTTTAATGATTCAAACTTCTCAATTGCAAACACAATTCCACGCTCACACGCTGCAGGAAATATTTTTTTTATTTCTCTTATATTCATTCCCTGTTATAACAGGATTTTATTTTTATTTTTGCGAATCATGTTATCTTGATTTAAAATAATGAAAACTGTAAACAATTTTCTTTTTACTTTTTCAATATATTTTGTTGGACTATATCGCGAATTTCTAAATAATACATATTCATTACCTAAATTTTTAGTTAGAATTTAAAATCTCTTTTAATCTAATGAAAATTCGCATTTTCATAATTTCTAAAATTTGGTGAAAGATTCATAGAGTTATAATTTTGTGTATCAAAGCGATTCTTCATCTTAAAAAAAGAGATCATAAAATCTTAATCCATTTTGTTTTCAATTAAAATTATATAAATTGCCAAATAAAATTTAAATGAGCTACCTGCTTGAAAAAAAAAGATAAAAATACATGTCTTTAAAACAAAACCGCGTTTCCTGGAAAAAGCTGGCTGATCCCGGTCGGGACTACTCGCATCGTAAGCTGAGATCAATGGTGCGAATTTTCCCTTTGGCAAGCAACAATAAGTCACGCCGCCTTTGCAAAATGTGAGTGACGACTCGGCGACGTGACCTTCTCAAAGCAACTAGACAAAAAGGCTTTCCAGGAGAGAGGGTCTAGTTGCTAAAACGCTCAGAGAAAACAAAGCAGCAGCCAGAGCGAGGGAATAAATAAATTTTTCTCCTTGAATAATGGAAGATTATCCCGGACGGCGTGCAGCGGGAGACCTGGCCGCTTTTTATCCAACCACACGAGGCTAGTTCTTTTTTATGGAGTGAATAGGCCAGAACGGAGTCGGTTTACTCTTGAATAAATCACAATGCACAAGCAAAAATAATAGTGAAGCTCGCGGGGATTTACTCAAACTCGACGACGCTACTTATAAAAAATGAAAGGCCCTCCAGCAATTCTCCAAAAATTCTGCGGAAGATTGCGTCTTTTGTGACCCGAGTGGAAAGCGAAATGAGAAGACGATTCTCTTATTGCTGCTGTGCTTTTTCATTTAAATCAGAAAATCGTTGCGGACGACGGTGACACAGTCGCAGACGAAAAGGTTTATTTTGCGAGAGAGGCGGCGGAAGGAGTGTTCAGTTTTCCTGTTATGATCCCAACCCGAAAAGATAATTATTTTCTTCCGACTAATTCACTCAAATATATTTATTGATGAGGTAAATCGACTAAAACAGAATACGAATACCACAATTTGACTTGAAATTGTGAAATGAAATTACAAATAAAATTTAAAAAAAAAATTAGAAAATCAAATTACACTCTTATAATAAAGCAATATTCACCTATTTTCAACATATATTTTTCTTCGGCCATACTGCAATATCTCTAAATTGAATAAAGCGTTCCAATTGATCTACATACATATAATTATTTTTTTACAGTTATATTCAAATTTGGATAAGCTCAGAAAAAACTGAAGCATAATTATGTCACTACTGAAGTTTAATATAGGACGGGACAAGCGTTGGAGTTCTCAATTACATTATAAATTAAATTTTGGTCCCTGAAAGACGTTTGGAGCACAACACATTTATAAAATGCCTGGCAAAAATGCGCCTAAGCAGAAAAACATCTCTTCATTTCCCACTGCATCTCTTTGCTGTCGCGCCGGTCCGCAATATTAAAAAGTCTGTGCTCGAAATAAAATATGACAGTGAAAGTGAGCTTGGGTTTTTTACCCAGTCCAAAATTCAGATGAGTGACGCTGAATGAAGTTGTGATGTTTTT